TACTTAATCGTCAGAATAGAAGTGTCAACTTTAGCCCTTACCTTCTGTTTTTGTTTATTCAAAATACATTCAATAAATGTTTATTAGAGTGAATGAGCAACTGAATGGCTGAAAAGGCACAACACTGGTTTTCTAATGTTTTGAGATGAGGAAACAAATGTGGAACTAAATGCCATCCACCGTTTCTGCATTAAGGGGCACTCCAATGCGCAAACCATTTCTTTAAAGAAGACACAATGTTGCATTATGTTTTAAATAATCATATTAAATTTCCTTGCATAATTGCCATGAGACAGTCCTAGTAGCCATATACTCCAGTTGAGAAGACAGAGACAGAGGGAGGCATGAAACAAGGAGAGAGAAAGCTAGACCTGGTTTTGACTCCCTCCCAATGCTTAATCCACTCCCCCACATTCCAATTTACAATAAAATGAAATTGGCACATTAACCTGAAAGGAAAAAAAAAAGAAAGAAAAATGACCAAATTCATTCAGTGAATTCAGGCATATCCAATGAAGTAACAGTGAGCTTAGGCTTATCTGAAAAGGAATTTGGTTCTGAAATAGCAAAGTTGACTTATACCTAGTGGGGGAAAAAGGCAATTAAAGAATAGTCTGGAAGTGTCTGAGAGTGGAATTAAAATAGAGAATTGGCTTGTGCTCATTGTGAAGTGACTTTAAAAAGAGATTCTGATGAGCAAACGTGTTAAAAATAGAGTTCTCACTCTTCCTGCTCCGTCGAAGAGCCTCCCACTTCCTACAGAAATTCTATAAATTGTGCGGCTCTTTAAGTACATGGAGGAATAGAACACATTTGCAATTATTTGGTAGAATATGTGAGTCATGCAGAAATAAAGCTTAGCAGGAAATTTTTATTTCATTGGACAAATTCTTAGTCATTTATTGCAGTTATTAAGAAGACTCTGAAACCATCAGACCTGTCTTTGATGAAAGGAACTGTGTTCCAACTGCCCTCCAGACAAAATCTCTCATGGAAGATGAACCAGAAATAGATGGGATAACATGGAGAAAAAAGCAAAAGGCAAGATGAATGAAGCTAAAAAATGAGATACCACTTGAAGTATAATATATGAAAAATGGCACTTGTACTTAAGGGCAGGAAGAGAATGTAAAACGGTAAAGCAAGAAGGAAATGAATAGAGACAGGATATAAGATGTATACACAAATTCTTATGATCCAGATTTACTCCAGGCACATCCCTGCTTGCATTAGATATGAAGTCATTCGTGCTCGTTTCTGAGCTTGAATATCATGTTTACATAAATATGTTTGAACCTTCATGTACTCAGAGTGCCAGTCGCTATGAGCTGTTGTTATTTTAAAACATAGAAACAGAGAAAGTATCATTTATTGATAGAACCTAATAGAATTTCTAGTGTCATAGTCTAGCCAAAGCACTATATTAAGAGAATGAACCCCTCCTTTTAATTTGATACAACTTTCACAAACCATCTAATACATCCCCTGATTTTCATTCAGAATATCATGCTGATTCATCTATACTTACCCATCTTTCATATTGGTGACTAAAAATAAACCAGCTTTACGTATTACAACCCCCTGCACAAAACTATTGTACTTTTAAACATATATTTACCTCATTCTTCTATTTCCTTTCATAAGCTTATTTTGAGTTCATATAAAATTTGTGAAACTCAATAAACTCTCCAGAGTTCATGTCTAAACCACACATTACCAACTAAAATTGATAATACAGAGAATTTATGCAACTAATTCAATCAAAACACCTACTTATTTCATTCAAATTAGAGGTAAATGGAATATTTGTCTGAATTATACTTCATTTTACAGAACAGACCAGAGGGCTCTCAAAATGCAATAGATAATAAAATTCTACTCAGTTGGTAAACAAGTTTACCCAGAGATACATTTCAGGTACAGGTGACTCTTGATTTCCTTGTTGAAATTTATTAGATTCATAACTCTTGAATGTGATGAGATAGGAGATAGACAAAAGGAGGGAAAGCGCATTGTATTCTATTCTAATTAGTGTCAATAAGTGTTCTTTTTTAATGGTATTGTCTAAGTGTTGTATTGAAATGATCCTGTAGGGTTATTACATTATTAATGCTTCTCTGCATTTGCTTAATTTACTACCATGACCACTAAAATATTTAGAGTATTTGCAGAGTGGAAAGATTACTGTATTTTTAAGCAGATGCATTTGCATACTCATCCATTAAACACTGAATATATTAAAACCCACAAAGTTGTTAAAAGAAATTTTAATGTGCAATTTTGAACAACTAAAATATCTTAATAATTTTATAATATACCTACAAGGGACTGCCTAAATATTAAAACGATCACCTTTGAAAAAGACTTAAACAGAACTGAGAGAGTTTTAGTTTCTCATTAGTACTCTCCGTAAAACAATAAATGAGCACACTTTTTGAATCATGTAAGCCTGGAAATGTGGTACTTTGTGGAATATTTAAAGCTGGTCACCATTCTGGCTCTTTAATATGACTATAAAAGCAACTGATCTCACGACACACAGTGCAATGGGTAATAATAGCAATGTAGGACATTATATCTACCATAAAATGAGAAATGTAGTTGATTCACTCATATTTCTATATATCCCAAAGCATTTAATGATTGTAGATTTTGAATATTGAAAATGTTGATCATTTTAGCTAAAAAACCAAGTTATTTCTACTCTGTTCCATTGGTACTTGGTTGACATATAAACTGAGCAAAGATGTCCTTGTTCAATAGAAATAGCCAAGTGTGGGAATACACTTAGATGTATTTTTGATTTCTCATTATTATTTGTTTGAAGAACTATTGGGTAAAATAAATAAATAAATAAATAAATAAGTAAAGATCTTTTGCCTTTTGTAAGAACATGTTTTATGTATGATTGAAGTTTTTACAACACTCCGAAAAAGCCATCCGATGTTAGATTTAAAAATAAAATCAAAAGCAGTTTCTGACATAGTACACATGAAAAATTGGAAATTCCAATATCTTCAATAGAAGTTGTAGAAAGTGTATGTCTCCTTGGAGTTTGACACCCACTTAACACAGCAGAAAATAAGGTATTATACTGTAAACAAAAAAGTACAGTAAAGGACAGTTGTAAATTTACATAAGAATAGTTCATAAACATTTTGGTCTTTCCATAACAGTTTTTATATAAAATGAATAAAAAAACCTTTAGACAGCTGTCATCACTCTTGTTTGACCACTTTTCACTTATATGCACACAGACATATTTATATAGCAATATACTGATGCACCGTTACATGGATATTAAACTATGATTACTGCTTTGTAACTGAGATGTGCATTATCCAATCAACATTATCCATAGTTGAAATACTCTTACATTATGTATTCTTGTCATGTTGTATCTAGAAAAACATGAAAATATAACTTTACATTATTTCAATTATTTACATTAGTTCAAGCTTGACAGAGAAAAATTGATAAGCTACAATTTTTAGAAGAGTGGGCCCAGAGGTACAATAAATAGCATCGATTGTATAGAGTCCTCTTTTTCGTTTTTAAAAACTCATTTTAAGTACAATATGGAAACAATTAGTCTGCAATTTGGTCATTCTAGCATGTATTAGCAAATCTGAAAATGCACCTCCAACATTCCTGATGAGGAGAAATGCACTAAAATATTGTATTCTTGAGGAATTTGTGATCAGGGATGACTAATATTGGTGAAGAACATCATGGTGCCACAGGCCACCATGTTCCATGGAAGGGGCTGTTGTTTAATCCTACATACTCTTTCCCTGCTGTGAAACATAATCAATAAAAATGTTTTCAAGGCACTCAGTAAAATACCAAGTGCTACGCAAAGGCTTACTTGCAGAAATAAGTAATCATTTTAATAAAAGATATTAAAAATAATGATTGGATGTTAACAATTGTTTAAAACCCTAAATTAATTCTATTTGGTGGGGGAAGCTTTAAGAGAAATAAATGGCTTTGATGAAGGGAAAGAGAGCTCCTTTAGATTTTTTTTAACTAGAGAAACAGAAGCTTCGTAGTCAAAAGTTACAGAAATGTGATGTTTTGTCCCCGCTGCACATATTAAAACAGCCATTCCACTTGAGGAATAAGAATAAATACAATATATTAGGGTTGTTTTATTGAAGGCAATGGGAAGAAACTACATTACAGGTGACTCAAAGTGCTTAAATTATTTGTAATATATAAGCTTTATGACAGCTCTTATAATTCTGAAAACAAAAACTTAAGATTTAGTTTATGGAATTTGATCGATTGGCAACTATTTAAAAAGATACTTTCTAGGCATTCCTAACTTCATTTACAACTAATACTTCTCTTCTGCAAGCTCAAACATTTTAAAATGGATCCTCACATATTCTGATATTTGCTTTTTAATATTAGCTTTTTAAATCTATTAGCATTTATCTACACAGATTAAATGCTTTATGTTAAGTATTTCTTTACATACAGTAAGACATACGAAAAACAGATTCAGATATTGTTTTGGGACAAGTTTATACTCTGGAAACCACCTGGTCTTCTTAAAAGGGGCAATTTTCTCTGGGAGCCTAGCAATTTGATAATGTGTTTAATCTCATTTGTTGTATGACCAAACTGTAGCTAAGCAAAATTAAGTTGGACCACTTGCGAATAAAACAATAGAAAAATGTTTATTTCAAATGTCAAGCATTGCCAAGTAATTTTATATTAACACCAAATGTTAAAGAATAGGATACATTAAAGTTTTAATAACAATATTAAATTACAAGATTTGAATCTTCTCTTTGTTTTCTTTCCTTAGCATTTACATATTTGGCTTTGAAAAATATGGAACTGATACCTAAAGCCTTTATAATCACTTCCCACTCAGTTTAATCATTATTTTGTCTTATCCAACCAATATGGAAGCAAATTTATTTAAAAGCCAGTTTGTTTTTGAAAATACCTAAAAATATTTTTTTTTAATTTTAAATGTTTTTTTTTCC